GTCTCAGCTGCATGTTGTGGGGGCACTGAGCCCTTCGGTCTTCTAAGACATGAAGGACTCGAGAAAACGCCTAGTTTTGTCACCAGCTTCCTACAGAATACACTGGAGTCAGGGAGTCTCCAAACTGGCCGCCACCTTGAATGACATCTCATCCAGCCCCCAACCCCATTGGTCAGTCCATCTTTCATCCTCCATCTGCACACACCTCTGGGGACAGCTCAGATCACCTCTGCAGGCTGGACTACACGAAACTCCTCCTTATACTAAGAGCCCTGACATAGGATCTCTGGGAGGCGTTCCTGCACAACCATTCCAATGGTGCCAGAAGAATCCATCTGAGCCCAGTCCTTCCCTTCTGTGCTCTCACCTGTGTCTGCATCAGGTGAGGCAGTGGACACCCCTCGGCCCCTCTCCACACGGGACACTGGTCTGGGAATGCTGGGACACGAGGCACACCTCATGCTGCAAAGAACTTACAGTCTAGCAGGTAGGACATGTTACTACACAGGGTGACAAGGACACTGAGAAGTAAGCATGAGGTTGGGGCCAGGACACATGGCAGAGGGGAGAGACTTGAAGGAAAGGAAGTTGGCCCTCAAGCCGAGAGCCGCCCCATGCCCTAATTCCACCGTATGCACCCAGAACCTGCCAATTTTAAACTTAGGTGGATGCATCTTTCAAGAGGAAGAAAAAAAAAGGTGGCTCTCAGTTTTAATCTAAATATTTATGGAGGCGCACACCCGATTACCAGAAAAACATTACCAACAGCCTCATTGTCGCCACCAGCCTGGTGCTGATCTGCTCCTCTTCTCACATTCAGTGAAGAAGTTCAAGGGCACAGGTGTTAACAGGTAGGAAACCTGACTCCCCTGTACTGGCCAGCATCCCCCAGACCCAGCAGAAAGGTCAGAGGCGGGTAACTGAAGTGGGAGGGGGCTCTAGGTCTGCTCCAGCAGAAGCAGTAGGGCCAGGAAGGATGATCAAAGGAGCAATTTAAGGCTGAGCATCAGATAAAGGTGACCTGAGAGGGGCAGATTCTTCCAGAGCAACTTTCGGGGAGGAGGGTTCCATTCTCCTCTTCCCCAGTCAGGATGTCTTATCCCGGCTGTTAGAAGATCTTGCCAATGGGGTCTAGCTCCTGGCTCCCAGCCCTCAGCAGCTATGTGACTTTTGGCAAACTGCTGGCTTTCCCAGCTCAACCCCATCACCATCCAATGTCCAAGGGGATAATGCTGCCTTTCTTACAAGGATTATTTGTCAGACTTGTAAACCCCTCGGAGGGCAGTCACACACCCCAAACCTTCCCCTGACAATGAGCTACATGAGAGAGGCTGTCGGGCTCACAGGCAGCAATCGTAAGCGGAAAGGAACGACACCTGTCAGGTACCCACCATGTGCCTTGCACAGTTCTTAGGTTCTCTCACTTACTCCTAACATTCCTATAAAACACTTCCCCCAGTTGACAGAAGAGGAAATTAAAGAAGATTCTTCTCGTCATTGCACATAGATCGAGGAGGCTCCGTTCTAGCCACGGAGGCTGGCAGTGAACAAGACAGACACAGGCCTATTCTTGTGGAGCATATATTCTAGTGTGGGGGAAAAGATAATAAACACAAAGAAAATAATTCCAGATACTGCTAAATGCTATAAAGAAAACAAAGCAGGATGATTTGATAGAGTGACATGGAGGAACAGTAATAGAGAAAAGTCGACTCTAAGTAGAGGGAACGGAGACAAAGGCCCTGAGACACAAACAAGCTTGATTTATTCAAGGAAGAGAAAGGAGGTCAGGGTGGCAGGGGTGGGAGACAAGGTAGGCCATCAGGCCAGGGCCCTGTGTGTCAGGTATTACAGGTAGTGGTAAGGACTGGGAATTTTATTTTAAGTGCAATGAGATGATTTGGAGATCTTTAAGCAGGGGACTGAGAGGATCTAAGTTCCGGCTGTTGCGGGAAGAATGGGCAATGGGGGCCAGGTTTAAAGATGTTTAGGAAGGTCACACAGGCAGCTCAGGGTTTCACTGCCAGTACTAGTTTGCATCCCACACCAAGGTTCATTTCCACTGTGTCACATTCCACATACCGTAGTTTAATGCTATTCTGGAATCTCACATCTGACAAAGCGGGGCTCCCACTGTCTCCCTGACCCCAGCTCTGCTTCCTGCAGCAGTCGAGTGAGGATAACTGCTCCCGGTCCTGTGATGACAATTCAACAGCACATATGGAAACACGCTTCACGTCGATCTGGCAACATTCAACAAACAGTGAGTGTCTACCATGGGCCAGACACTTGTAAAGTTGTTTTACAGTATTAGAAATGTTTTATTAGATAGATGCTTAATAAAAAATGACTCTGGGAAAAATAAAGGGCCAGCTGTCACTCCTCAAGAAAGGTGGAGGCTAGCGTGGATTCCGGGTTCCCCCTAATCTTCACTTCTCTCTGCAAACTTTCCGTTAAGTGAAATCTTATAGAGAAGCATCTGCTTCTTTGAACAGGGAGAGGAAATAAAGGAGAAAAAGAAAAGAGTCAATACATTGGGGAGGCGGGACATTATAACCCCAGGAACCTGGGTTTGCCCTAATAAGACCAGCTTCAAGTCACAGGTGACCTTGAGCATCAACCCCTCAGTTTTCTATTTCTAACCTGTAAAACCTGACAAACCCATCCTCCCTCTGAGGCGGGCGGCCCAACAGTGAACTAACACGACACTACGGCATGGGTGAGGCACGATTAACGGAGAACAGCCTGCCCTGCTCCTTTGAGCAGCTGGAGGAGAGATCAGAACCCTCTAATCTCACTTACCTACAAAAGGTTGGCGATTCTAATGTAACTAAGCTGGTTGAGTTTCTACTGCTCTCAAAATCTTTCCTGCTAGAAAGGGGCAAATTAGGTCCAAGTCATTCCTCCCAAGCTATGAGCAGAACTGAGAACCACGCCAGCCTATGATAAACAACCAAGCCCAATTTCCACGGCAGCCCTCCCTAATTGATTTAGCTACCACCTCCAGAAAAGAACCCAGACTGTGCTGCCTGGTCTACCATCCCACCGTCCTGCTTTTTAAATGAACCACCAAGACCTGGATTTCCTCTCCAGATGCCTAAAATGTGCTGCCCCTTGGCCATCCTGCTCCAGGTAGAAGACCAAGCGAAGCAGAGGGAAGCTGGAGAAGCAACGCAAGGCAGAGATACACTAGCAGGTACAGGAAAAAAGAAAAAATGATTAATTTGGCTAGAAGACAGCTACTCCCTAATGAGGAAAAAATCCTGAATAGCTGGTGGTTTTTTAAGCAGAGCTCCATACACACTGGGTGCAAGTGCACTGGAAGTGGGACCTGTCTGTATACAGACCCAGATACCCCACTAGGAAGGCCTCTCCCTCCCTGTGCTGGGTGGAATAGTGTCCCCCCATAATTCATGTCCACGTGGAACCTCAGATGTGACCTTATTTGTAAAAACGGTCTTTTCGGAGGTAATTAGTTCAATTAAGATGAGGTCATACTGGATTAAAGTAGACCCTATTCCAATGACTGGTGTCCTTATAAAGAGACAAAACAGAGACACAGATAGATGGCCATGTGACACGGGACTCAGATTGGAGGGATGCATCGACATGCCAAGGAATACTGAGGATTGTCTGCAACCACCAGAAGCTAAGAAGAGGCAAGGAAGGACCCTCCCTCCTTCAGAGAGAGAATGGCGCTGCCAACACCTTGATTTCGGACTTCTAGCCTCCAGAACTGTGAGAACAAATTTCTACTGTTTTAGGTCCCCCACACCCGATTTGTGGTGCAGTGGGCCCTCTGGCCCTGTGTATCTGCCGGTTGCGCATCCGCGGATTCACCCAACTGCGGAGCCGAAGACCTACGTGGTTGCGTTGTTGGTTGCGTGGGTACTGAACACATGCTACAGAGTTTTTTTCCTCGTCATTATTCCCTAAACAATACAGTATAACAACTTTTTACATAGCACTTACATTGTATTAGGTATTATAAGTAACCTAGAGAAGATTTAAAGTACATGGGAGGATGTCGTCTAGGTTATATGCAAACACTACGCCATTTTATATAATGGATTTCAGCATCCGCGGATTTTGGTATCCGCGAGGGTCCTTGAACCAATCCTCCGCGGATACCGAGGGGCTGCAGTTTGTCACGGCGACCCCAGGAAACCAATACACACTCTTCTACTTCACACCTGTTCCCCAAACCACCCTTCCCTGTCTCAGTCCAGAGGCAGCAGGCAAGACACACAGGCCCTGTCTCCAGCCCACCTGCATTTTTCCACCTTCCCAGGGCCCATCAGCTCTTCTCCTTTGAGGTGAGGGGCGTGCAGGGATCACATTTCAGCTGCCCCCACCTTCTGCCACCGGAGGCAAACTGGCAGGGGAGTTTTTGTTTTTCTCCCCACAGCCTCCTAGTTTTGTAGCCTCTTTCATTTAGATTGGTATTTCTTAAATTCCCATCCCAGAGATACACTGGGGGGGAGGGGGACCATAACTATGTATTCCTTATACTATCATTTACCTAATATTTCTTTATATCGAGTCACTACTTTTACTTAAATGAATTTAAAAAAGGACTTGCTACATCGTTACAATAAATGGAAAATTAGCATCATTTAGCCTATGCAGAACTTGCTAGATATATATTTTAAACTGCACATTAAAATACACAATAGTTTTTTTAAAAGTCCATTCACGTACCATTTAAAATAATCTCGGGTGGCAATACTACGGGAAATACTGCCCTAAGAGTACAGTGATTCTCTCTCTTTAATTGGCCTGGAGCTCCGGGCTCCTAATCAGAAAAACCAATTTAAGCTCTCCAATCTCGTTTTCCTTTCTCGCCCCCACACACTCCGGGAGAGGGTTAAGGGCAGGAGGAAAGCAAGGCACCGAGAGTTCCGTGTTCCCAGGCGGGGCGACCTGAGGACACGGAATCGAGAGCGAACGGGACGTTAAATACCCAGTCCTGCAAGTGACAAGGGCGGGGAGGGACTGACCTTCTCGCGCAGGGTGCAGTGGACGTCGGAGGCGACTCGCCCTTCCCACCACGGCTCATCCATCATTGCGTGTGCAGCGCCGCGATCCGAGGCTACCGGGCTCCCCGGGCGCACCCTGCGTGGACACAGGCAACTTCAGCGGCCGCAGCGCGTCCCCCGGCTCCGACCCCCGGCATCCCTATCCTGGCTCGTCCCCGGCCGGGGGCCCTTTCCTGCCTCGCTAAGCGGAGCTGGTGGTCGCCTCCTGTCCCGGGGAGAATACGGTGCCCGCTCCCCTCTGCTCGGGGGACCTGGGGCGACCTGGAGCTGTGCAACAACTTGCAGAATTTTTATCTTCCCTTTTGCAAAAGTTGCAGAGAAAGTTGCCGACTCCGCTAGCTCGCCCCGAGGCTGGGGCTCCGGCGGCGGCCACCGGCTCGCCGTCCCCAACTCCTCCCCCGCCGCCCAGCCTTTGTCCTGCTCCCACATCCTGCCCTTGAGCCGGGGCGAAACTCACGCATCCCGCTCCGAACGTGGGGGGCTGCGGGCGCCGGGCCCCTCCCAGGGCCGAGCGGGCGGCGCCTCCGAGTGCCTGCACGCGGCTGGGCCCTCGCGCGGGGTGCTCCACGCTCTCGACGGCCGCCCCCGCAGCCCGGCTCGCCCCGGCCGCCGCGTCCCTGCGTGCGCTCGCGTCCTGCCGCGGCTCGCAGCCTCCGGGCCGCCGGGGGCCTCCCTCCCTCTCTAGGGGAATTGGGGGCCGGGCCTCGCGCATGCGCCGCCGGCCCCCGCACCCCACGGGGCGGGGGGCTGGGAATTGCAGTCTTTCTTTTGCCGGCTGTGTCTCAGCTTCCTGCCCGCCCTCCTCCCCCGCCTCGGTGGAAAGCTTCCTCTCACCTTCGCGGAGACTCCTGGTGGCCTCTTGGGCACGCCGCCGGCGTACTCCAGGAGCGCAGGGACCGCGGCGCCACCTGCGCGCACCACGCGTGAAACGCGCGGGCAGGATGCACCCAGAAAGTCCTGTCTCCTGCATGCGCTGCTCTGGCCAACTTGACGTCGGTTCCACCTGTTTTTTCTTTCTTTTTTTTTTTATCCTGTCCTGCTATGGGGAGGTAGATTTCCAAACGGACAATTCCCACGAAAGCTCCAGAAAAGCCACTGTTGATTATCCACGAGTCCCTAATTCTAAAGGAGGCTCAGTAAGTCAACTACTATTTATTGGGCTCCTGCCAAGTACATATTATCTACGCCTCACATTGGAGGAAAACCAGTCTTTTTGGAGGGTCCAACGGATGGAAAGCATTGTCTTTTAAATTCAGTTGATTGCTTTCGGAAAGGCGCTGCCTTGAATCAGCTAATCTGATGGCACAGTATTCGCGATCTGGAGATTCACAGACCTGAGGTCAAATCCACGTACCAACTAGGTGATTTTTGCCAAGTTCCTCAGACCTCTCAGGGGACTCACTGAGGGTGCTCTCTTGGGAACCCTTATGTGTAAAATGAGAATAAAAGTTGCACCAACCTGCTAGGGATATTGTATCGTTAAGTAAGATAATTCGTGTAAAGGGATAATCGCCCTGCAAAGTATAAAACGAACGCTCAGTAAATAGCTGCTAGGAAAGAGTCTTTAGTTTATGATTGGTTTCCTGCAAGCAAACACCGACCTGGAAAAAAATTTAGAAGTCAACTTTGATAAACTTTAATTGGAGCTTAAAGAGCAGTTTTAACGTAAAAAAAAAATTACGAATTCTTGTAAAACACGTAGGAATAAAAAAAAAGTGCAGGCTCTTCAGGAAGAAATTATGAAGGTTGAAACATAATAAGAAGGGCTTGAAGAAACAGAGGTGAAAATAGCAACTTTACCCAAATTAGCTATTTTAATAAATTCTAATGGTTGTGAGTAGATGGGGGTGAGGGAGGGATGGCACAACACTTTCTAACTCTCAGATGGAAGAATATCTGTGAGAAAAGCTAAGATTTTTTTATTTTAAAAATGAGAATAGACCTGTATTACCAAATCTTAAAACATATTGCAAAGTTATAATTAAAACAGTGTGGTGTTGATATGAGAATGGATGGATAAGCATCACTGGAATAACTGAAAGTCTAGAAACATATACAGTATACTTAAAAATTAACCGTATGATAAATGTGGCTGGGGTAATTAGTTAATTTGGGGGGAAAACGTAACACTACATATTTATTTAAACCATCACCAAAATAAATATAAGAACCTGTCAAATGACAAAACTAAAACAATTTAGTAATGAGTTGGATGTTCTTTATTCAAGGGAAAACAGTCCATGGGTTGGGGACGACAGTGCCTGATGAGCAGTGGAGCGCTCCTCCCCAGGGATTTTGGGCAAAAGTGAGTTTTATAGAATGTTGGACGAGGCAATGTGGAAATGGCATGATTGGCTAGGAGGACTGGGATTTCCTTATAAGGCTGGCTGGTCCTATTTTCTAGGGTAAGGTGAGCTAGCTAAAGATGTTGGAGATTTGTGATTGGTGTATGTTAGGTTTCCTTGACAGGGGTTTCCTGTATGTGCAGGCTGACTTAGGTTTAGATTTGTTACCTGAGCAGGGCCGCTAGGGTGGCCTTCATTTTTTACAGTTCCTGTATATGAATTAACTTCATCAAACCCAAAGAACTACAAACCAACAACAACAACAATCACAAGAGAATTAAAGGAACACATAAGTGAATTATTTCAGAGGAGAAGGCCCAGACATTAAGGCATAGGAAGAAACCAAAGGCAAGAATGAGTATATATGTTTGAATAAATATGCAAGACTTGGACATACTGAATGTCACCAAAAAAGGCAAATGACAAATTGGAGAAAATGTTTTTAACAAGTGTTACAAAAGGTTGATCTTACTATGTAGACCTCTTGTAAATCAATACGTAAAACACTCACACCCAAAATGCAGAAATGGATGAACAGGCCCACCATGAAAGAAGAAATTCAAATGGATGAATATCATTTTTAAAATGCTCATACTCACTAGCCAAGACATTGAAAATTTTTTAGAAACAGAGGGATATATCTTTGTGAAGGATTTTTAAAAACACAATATGCAAGGTTGACAAATATACAGTGTTGTTGGGAATATAAATTAATATCATCTTTCTAAAAGCTCATTGAACTCAGAAAGTTTAAAATTGTATTATTTGATCCAACTATTCCACTTCTGGAAGTTTATTCAAAAAAATAAGCAGACAAGTATAAAGATTTATTGACAGGGGGTTTCATTATAATGCTTTTTTATTATAGTGAACTATTAGAACAAGGACTGGTTAAATAATGATTTGGCTCTTAAAAAATATTTTTTAAGAGAATGAATATTGACTTGGAAAAATGTTCCCAATATATTATGTGAAAAAGATTAGAGTATGACCCCAGTTATCCTGCATTCACACACACACAAAAGAAATGGAAGCAGATCCATAAAAATATTAACTGTGTAATCGGAATGGTAGGATTATGGGAAATTTCGTTTTACTTTTTATTCTAGTATGTCTGTATTTTCTAATTTTTCTACAAGAAACATGCATTACTTTCATAATCAGAAAAAAAGAGTGAATATTATTTTAAAATAAACACATGATATACTTACTAGAGTGGCCTTCCATTGAATGACAACTCACGGTATTGTTTTGTTTTTGTTCTTTTCTTTCATAGCAGTATTGTTTCTTTCTCAATAATCTTTCTACGCAGGGCACATCGAAAGATGAAAGGCCTTTATTATTGACTAATTTGGAGTCCTCTTTTCCTAAACTTCAGCTCTCAGTTATCAGGAGTTCTGATAGGTGAGGGAGGTAGGCAGAAACTTTGGACTTTTCTCCAGGGGCTGCTTTAAGCGGATTGTGAACGTCATTCACACTCTGCAGTCCTTACTGTGTCATTCTCAGGAGTCTCTGGTTTTCCCAGAATCTCTGAAGAATGAAAGTACTTTGCACTGATGGTCACTGTCCACGGGTAGAAATGGTGTCGGTGCCCTTAGCAGGAGAGGCTTCTTCCTCTGGTGGACAGCAGGGAAACAATGCGACTGGAGATAATTTTCCCACCCACTCCATCCCCAACGGAGCCAAGAAGTAGTCATTTCTTCATTCGTTCATTCATTCATTCATTCAAAAACTAAACTTTTATCAAGTACTTACTATGAGCCAATTACCAACCACCTATCCCCAATCTCTGATGCTCACAGGTTGGGAACCAAAGATTTAAACTAAGACTATCCTACCTATCTACAACATTCCCATGTATAAAATGGGAAAAAATTTTTCTCTGGGCTTTCCAATCTTCCTCAGAGGACAAATCAATCTAATGTTATCAACTGCTCACTTTAACTTTCCTTTCTCTTTTTCTTTTCACGTGATGCACTATCTCACATTACAACTATACACGGTGAAGTATAGATGTGTTCGCCCTTGTCCCAGGCCTTGTTCTCCTCCCCAAGGGTAAGCAGCACCTTGTGTTTCCTTCCAGAAGTGATCTTTGCACTCACCAGCATAGACATTCATGCCCTTCTTCCCTTTGCATGAATGGCAGCTTACGGTACACATCCTCCTGCACCTTGTTTTTTCTCTCCGCAGCGCTGCACAGTTATCCCGTAGTCCCATAGTACAGATCCATCATGATGTATGTAACCAGTCTTCTTTGGCTGGACATTTAGGGTGTTCCCAGCCTTTTGCTGCCCAACCACGCTGCAGTGAATACCCTGGGTGGCAGGGGGGTCAGTGATATAAATTCTTCGAGCACTCAGCCTTTCAGAGGAAGTTGAGGTATATACTTTGAGCAGTGTTTCCTTAGGGTCTTAATGGTCTGCATTGCTCCATTAAGGACCAAAAGCATGAAGTCTGGCTCTGTTTATAGGGACAGAAGGAAGACATCTGGGCCATAAACTTTGAGACATAAGCCTTGTTTACCACTTTGTCTTTAACCAAAAACCAAACCAACTCCTTTAAACTGTTTCTCGCGATGTGCTCTACATAGTCAAGAGAATATTGGGCAAATCCTTTATGATCCTTGACTAGAAATTCTTGAGATATAACTCTACACATTAGGTCTGAGAACCAGGCAGTAAGAATAAAAAAGCAGCATTTTGCAAACAGGACTCAAAACCTAGGACATTTATAAAGCTGGCCCATATTACTCTTTTCAGTTAAAAAAATGGTATGAGATCAAAAAGGTACAAAAGGAATAAATAAAAAATAAATCTCCCTCTCATCGGGGCCGGTTCATGGGTGTGTGATCTACGCAGCTGGACAGCCTGTCATCAGAAAGGCCGCGTGCTTGGTTTAGTGCTCTGCTGTCGCCACCTTGAAATTCTTAAGAATTTTATCTTTGAACTCTGTGTTTTGTAAATGAAGTCCAATGGGACAGTAGTGCAGGCACATGAGCAGAGGAGAGGCGTGCAATAGGTGTCTGCTCTCCCTTGCCGCCCCATCTGCATATAGTGTTCTCCATGCCTCATGAGCACAGAGTTCTGGTGGACCTACTAGGCATGAGAGTTCAGCAAGATACAAAGGAAGTAGAAGGTAAGTGAGTTACATCTACAACTAGGGGAGAGGAGAGCAGGAGGAACTGACAACCCTGGAGGCCATGCTTTCCATTTGAACCAGAACTTGCTTTGAACACAGAAAGGTGTATAGTCTCCCAGGGCTGCTGTAACAAAGTACCGCAAACTGGGTGGCTTTAAAAAACAGAACTTTATTCTCTCCAGTTGTAGAGGCTAGAAGTCTGAAATCAA